CTTCCGTAAGGAGCACTTGAAGGTTATGCTGTATTGTGATCGGACGCCGTCGTTGCAACAGCAGAGGCACTCATGGTTGCATCAGTTGCAGCGCTCCTGGAATGGCAAGCAACTGGAGGGGTTCTCGTTGTTGCCGGCCGCGGGGGCAGTGTTATGCATCATTGTGACGTCGGCGTCCTCTTTGCTCAATGACTTCATATTCGTGCTGTCTTGCCCAGCGACGGCTTAGATTGAGGGAGGCCCAGATGTCCTCGCAGGGGCTTCCGCAGGCTCCCACCTGCCTCCTGTCAAGCACACGTGCGATATGGAACAAAGTTGGCAGAGCAGCAGTATCTCCGAATATTGAAGGTGGGTCTTGTAACAGGAGGCGGGCGAGGGGGAGGAGGGCAAGAGGAGGAGGAGGAGGAGGAGAAGGAGGATGACAGAGAGAGAGAGGAGGCACATAGAAAATAATGAAGGGGAGGGCAACGGAGAAACGATGAGGCACCAGTGGAAAAAGTTGAGGGAGGAAGGGGATGTTGGAAGAGTAGGGGAATGCTGAGGACGAGCTGCAGCATGGAGAACGATGCGGAGGAGGACGAGGAGCAGCCAGAGGAGGAGCAGCAGCAAGCGCATCAGGAGCAGCAACATAATGAGCAGGGGAGGAGAAGAGAGGACGGGGAGGCGAAGGAAGAGGGCGATGTTGCTGCTGCGTCGCACCCGTCTGTGTCCTTTGCACTATGTGTACCCAGCTGTATGTGGCAAACCCCGTGCCGTCATCGCAACCGCGGCTCTTACACCCCGCCACCTTGCCATCAAAGCAGCGCAGTAGGAAGGAGGGGGAGGAGGAGAAAGAGGAGCAAGAAGGGTTTTTTTTACCCGCCCCATTTCAGTGTCCTTTTTCCCTCCTCCTCCTCCTCCCCCTCCTCCTCCTCCTCCTCCTCCTCCTCCTCCTCCTCCTCCCCCTCCTCCTCCTCCTCCTCCTCTTCCGTCCACTTCTCGTCATTCTCTCCCTTCTTCCTTCTCCATTGTCCCCTATCTCTATTGGAGTTGCCATGGAGGCTTACTTGAGGCGTTGGTGCTGTGCGGTGCCCGTTTTGAGCTCCTTTCTGCGGGCCTTTTTGGGGGCCGTCTGGTCTGTTCTCGCATCCGTCTTGGGCCGTCCAGGGGCATACCAGGCCGTCTTGAAGCTGTCTTAGGCTGTATTGGGTCCATCGGAAGTGTTCGTGAGGCCATCTCGAGCTGAACGAGAAGCATCGGAAGCAAGAAGCATTGCATGCCCAAAGTTGTTGACGTGTGGTTGTCTCCCAGGCCCTTGGAGCAGCCCTCCTCGGGCGCCTCTCCCGGGCGCCTTGGGGCACACCAGGGCCCGTCGGAGGTCTGTGGGCCGGACGGGCATCTTGCAGCCGTCTCGGGGCGGTCGTCGGCTGCTTTGGAACTCGAGGCTGGCGATCTTGGCTCGTCCGCGGGGTGGGCGAGCTGCAGGGCACGGCCACCAGGGTTCCGCGGCGCGCGCCCGACGGGGGAGCGAGAAGCCCCGCCGCTTTCTGAGAAGGCCTCCTCCTTCTCGCTTCCCCCCTCGCGCAAGCCGCCCTCCCTCCTCCTCGTCCTCGTCCCCCTCCTCCTCCTCCTCCTCCTCCTCCTCCTCCTTCTCCTCCTCCTCCTCCTCCTCCTCCTCCACCTCCTCCTCCTCCATCCTCCATCCTCCATCCTCCATCCTCCATCCTCCTCCCCCCCCTCCTCCTCCTCCTCCTCCTCCTACTCTTCCTCACTTCCCGCCCTTCGCTCGCCCCCGATGGGCGTCGCCCCCCGGAACAATCGGGCCTGACGAATTGGGGGTACAGTCAAAGGGGGTTGGTTTCAGCTCCGTGCCGCCAAGCGCTCTCTTTGATGCCCGGGGGCACCTCCTGCGCCACGAGGCGCCGGGAAAGCCAGCTGCGCGAGCTGGTTTCTCCAGCACCCCCCTAGCCAGCGGCGAGCGAGGGGGGGGAGGGGGGGGGGAAGTTCAGCGGCACCGTAACGGGTACTCACTGACGGGTATGTCGGAAAGTTGCCGAAAGTTGCCACTTCAGGGCCTCTTTCTAACACTGCAGCGTTGCGCACAGCGATGAGGTTTGGGTTCGTCGGGTCACCGGCCAAAATACCCGTCAGTGGAGTCCCCATTAGAGGGCCGCTGAGAAGTAAGAAGGAGAAGGCCTTCTCAGAAGGCGGCCCTTCGCTCGCCCCCGATGGGCGTCGCCCCCCGGAACAATCGGGCCTGACGAATTGGGGGTACAGTCAAAGGGGGTTGGTTTCAGCTCCGTGCCGCCAAGCGCTCTCTTTGATGCCCGGGGGCACCTCCTGCGCCACGAGGCGCCGGGAAAGCCAGCTGCGCGAGCTGGTTTCTCCAGCACCCCCCTAGCCAGCGGCGAGCGAGGGGGGGGAGGGGGGGGGGAAGTTCAGCGGCACCGTAACGGGTACTCACTGACGGGTATGTCGGAAAGTTGCCGAAAGTTGCCACTTCAGGGCCTCTTTCTAACACTGCAGCGTTGCGCACAGCGATGAGGTTTGGGTTCGTCGGGTCACCGGCCAAAATACCCGTCAGTGGAGTCCCCATTAGAGGGCCGCTGAGAAGTAAGAAGGAGAAGGCCTTCTCAGAAGGCGGCGGGACTTCTCAGAAGCCCTCGCGCCTTCTGGGAGGGTTTCTGCGTCTTCGGGGAAGGCTTAGAAAACTGTCAGAAGGCCAGGGGAATTCCGAGCCTTCTGAGAAGGCCCGCCCCTTCTCATTTCCTCCCCGAGCTCGCCGCCGACCTGTGTTCACGCTCCTTAGTTTCGTCCGACCCGACACAGCCACAGAAATCGCACCAGACGACGAACAGGCATTCGAAGACACCCCAACGTGGCGAGGACAGAGTAGCGGGTTTCGGGCGTGCCAGACAGCAGGCCATTGACCAGCAGTCGCCCAAAGCACGAGAGCAGGAGGAGGAGACGAAGGGCGAGCAGAGGGGAAGGCTGATCAGCAGCAGCGTGAGCGGGAGCAGGAGGGTGGCCAGAGGGGTGAGGAGGAGAAGGAGGAGGAGGAGGAGGAGGGAGGAGGAGGAGGAGGCAGGAGGAGGGAGAAGGAGGAGGAGGAGGAAGAGAAGGAGGAGGAGGAGGAGGCTAAGGAAAGGGGAGGAAAAGGAGGAACGAGGAGGAGGGAGGGAGGGCGGAGGGTGCTGATCGCATTGCCCCCACCACCCCCGAAAGCCACGGCACCCGACCTCCGAGGGGTGCGCGTCCAGGGTTGAGGAGGGCCTCGCACACGTGGTGCTGCTCGCGCGCCGGGGCAGGCACAGTCGTGACTCCGTGTTGCTTCTGGCGTGCTTTGTGTGCGCCACGTGTGCCAAGGCATGGCACGTGACGGCGACTCGAGGCCGTGCCTGGAACAAAAGCCCTGGCGAAGAGCCCAACCCATTCCAAACAAGCGGCGACTATAACTAGGGTTGTTCAATCCATGAGAGCACACTGAGGGGTCTGCAGTGCCCCTGAACTCTTCGCCGACGAGCGCCAGACCGTTCTCAACGTTGCCTTGTCTCGCAGGCACTTCCACGGCTCAAATCGCAGACGGAGGCGGCACGAAGCGAGCGAGTGGTGCGCCAACATGGGGCGGGTCACCATGTGGACGCAGCCACTGGCGCATTCGGCGGAGCGCCCTAAAGGACCACGGAACGCGTGGGGGGTGCGCCGAGATGGAGCTGCTCACCACGCGAACTCGGCCCGTGGCGCCTTCGGTGGAACACCGCCCGGGGCCACGCAACGTGTTAGGGGTGCGCCGAAATTGGGGCGGGCCACCATGCGAACGCAGCCACGGAGGCCTTCGGTGGATCCCCCCGCATGGGGCCATGAAACGTGCGAGGGGTGCGCCCCGAAATGCGGGTGGGGCACCATGCGGGTGCAGCCATAGAGATTTTCGGTGGAGCTCCCGATGTGGTCACGGAACGTGTGGGATGTGTGCCGAGATGGAGCGGATCATCATGTTCACGCAGCTTCTGGAGCTGTCGGTGGAGCACCCATATGGGGCCACGAAACGCGTCAGGGGTGCGCCGAAATGGTGCGGGTCACCATGCGTACGCAGCCACTGCAGCACTTTGTGAAGCGCCGTGTGGGGCCACGGAGCGTGTGAGAGGTGCGCCGAATTAGGGGGGGCACCATGCCTACCAGCCGATGGGGCCTTCGGTGGAGCTCCCTATGAGGCCACGAAACATCTAAGGGGTGCGCCGAAAGGAGGCAGGTCACCATACGGACGCAGCCACTGAAGCTTTCGGTGGAGTTCCCTGCGGGGCCACGGCACGTGCGAGGGGGGGGGGCGAGCTGAAATGGAAGAGGGAAGAGGGGTACAGAGGAAGAGGAGAGGAGGACCAACCATGGAGGAGGAAAAAAGGTGAAGCGCGGTGCTGCAACTTCAAAAACGAGGGCCCGACACACATGAGGGTTGGGGAATATTGTCTTGGCGAAGGGCACAACCAGATGCAGTAGTGAGTACCGTCGTTGCGGATGTCGTGGTCGGTTGATCTCCTCACGGGGCCACGAACAGTTGTATTGGACGCGGGGGTACGCATTCGGAGACCGCCATGGGGGCCTTCGGTGGAGCTCCTTATGGGGCCACGAAGCGCTGTACTGGGTTGGGGGGACACATGAGAACACAGCCAGAGGGGACTTCGGTGGAGCTCCATATTGGGCAACGGACCGCTGTATTGAGTGAGGGGGGGTGCGCATGCGAACGCCGCCACTGATGCCTTCGGTGGAGCTTCCTGTGGGGCCACGAAACGCTGTACTGGGTTGTGGAAACGCATGCGAACACCTCCTGCTTTTTATGGGGCCACGAAACGCTGTACCGGGTGCGGGAGACGCATGCGAACACCGCCAATGGGGCGTTTGGTGAAGCTCCCCATGGGGCCACGAAGCGCTGTACTGGACGGGGGGGGACGCATGCAAACGCCGCCATTGAGGCCGTCGGTGGAGCTCCCTTTGGGGCCACGAAAAGTTGGACTGGGTTGTGGAGACGCATGCGAACACCGCCACTGAGGCCTTCGGTGAAGCTCCCTGTGGGGCAACGAGGCGCTGTACTGAGTGGGAGAGGCGCATGCGAACACCGCCACTGGGGCCTTCGGTGGAGCTCCCTATGGGGCTACGAAGCGCTGTACTGAGTTAGGGAGACGCATGCGAATACCGCTGCTCAGGCCTTCGGTGGAGCTCCCTACGGGGCCACGCAACGCCGGACTGGGTGCGGAGGGCAAAGGCAGGGATGGGAGGATGAGCTGGAGGGAGGAGGGGGAGGAGGAAGGATAGGAGGGGAGACGCGGGCGCTGCATCTTCAAAACCAGAACCCAACACCACAGGATGGTCGGGAAAACAGGAGAATGAGGAAGTGGAGGGAGGAGAGAGGAGGAGGAGGAGGAGAGGAGGAGAGGAGGAGAACGAGTGAGACGCGCGAAGCTGCGAATTCGAAACGAGGACTCAACACACATGAGGGTTGGGAGATCATGACAGACAGCACCAGAGAAGACGAGCACGGGTATCCATCCAAATCACGAACCACAGCACTTTTTTCGTCAGCGGCGAGGCGGCGAACTCCGCTCCAGCGAGAAGCTAGATAGGGACACTAACTAGCGAATTTGCCGGCGAGCAAAGAGGGGGGGGGGGCGAGAGGACGGACGAACCACAACACATGAGGGAATCAAAAGAGTTGCTTTGCCGACCGCAGAGGATGCGCACACGACGCCATTGTCTCTGTTCTTGTTGGCTTCCCTTGAAGTGCCATCGAGTTGCGCCAGATAGCCATGCTTTTCTCGAGGCCGATGGGATGGATGCGGAAATCTGCTGTCTTCCACTGTTTCAGGCTGACTCCCCTAACCTGAACTGCTGGCTGTCCCCCCTTCCTGGCCCCTCGGCCCTCTCCGCTTGTCTGTACTCTCTGCTTCCCCTCCCTCTCCCCGTGCTGTTTGGGTCCCTCTGATGGTTGCAAGGTCTCAGCGGTTGCCTGGCCACCATGTGCCGCGCGCCGTTTGTTCCGATGCGAGGCCTTACGTCTTGGGGGGGCGCTGCGGCCACAAGGGCAAACGCCGCCTGGAAAGCGCAGGGCTTGCCGTGGGTGCGCTGTGGGCTTGCCTTGGCGTCGGCACCGTTCGTTCGGGCGCGTCAAGAACACACGGCGCGGCGGCATGTCAGTTCTACGCGCTGGTCGGCATCTGTGGCGCGGCATGGGGTATGCATCGGCCTTCCCCGCTTGCCTGTACTCTCTGCTTGTCCTAGGGGGCCACATGCGACCCCTACCCCTACCCTCCACGATTTCTGAGGGGGAGGGTAAGGTTCACTTCGCTCCCGAGCGAATGAACCCCCCCCTCCCCCTCAGAAATCGTGGGTGGTAGGGGTAGGGTTCGCATGTGGCCCCCCATGTCCTTCGTGTCCTCGTGCTGCTTGCGACTCCCTGCTGGGTGCATGGTCTCAGTGGTTGCCTGGCCACCATGTCTGTGTTCTGCGTACTGGGCCGCCGAGGGCCGCCAGGGCCCGACGACGACGACGACGACGACGACGACGACGGCGACGATGGTCGTCATCCTCTCTTTTTTTGACGTTGGTCAGACACGAGGTTCGGTGAACGTTGCGTCCTTCCTCTTCCTCCTCCTCCTCCTCCTCTTCCACGTCCTCTTCCTCCTCCACGTCCTCCTCCTCCTCCTCCTCCTCCTCCTCCTCCACGTCCTCTTCCTCCTCCACGTCCTCCTCTTCCACGTCCTCCTCCTCCTCCTCCTCTTCCTCCTCCTCCTCCTCCTCCACGTCCTCCTCCTCCTCCTCCACGTCCTCTTCCTCCTCCACGTTATCCTCCTCCACGTCCTCCTCCTCCTCCTGCTCCTCCTCCTCCTGGGTCTGCCCCGTGCTATGGAACAGGAGCCGCCTCGCCATGCCGCCACCCGAGGTCTCCGCTGTCCTCGGCTCGTGCACGGCCGGCGGTGCCTACGTCCCGGGCTCGGAGCCGCGGCCGCGCGGGCCTCTCTCGCGGGGGCCCCGGGGGAGCCCCGGGTGGGAGGCAGGGGCAACTTGCGGTACGGTCGTGGAGGACGGTCAATGGAGAGGAAGCATGTTGCCAAATCATTTCCAGATGCTTAATACATGAGGAGGAGGAATTAGAACTGAGCGGAATTAGAAATGAGAGGAATTAGAAGTGAGTCCTCTGTATTCAACATGTTTCAAGCATGTAAAAAACATGTTTAACAGACGTTTGGAACATTTGCCCGACATGTTAGGCACGTTTTGAATTCAATGATCGGACTGTTAGGGGTGTCCATTGTCGTGGCATCCACAACGGTACGGGCTCGAGGTTCCCAGAGAGGGGAGGGTGGGGAGGGGGGCAGGGGGGAGAGAGTGCAGGGGCGAAGGCCGGGCGGGCCCCAGATCGAAACAAGTCGGTCCAGAGCGTTCCTGAGCGCTCTCGGGTCGTCCCTGAACGCTCTGGAGCGACCGCGGCGCCCGATCCTCGGGCCGGACGAAAGGGGGGGATTGGGAAAGGGGGGGTTACGACAGTTTCTGCATGCAGCTGGTTTCGGCCTCACCGAGGGGCCCATTCCTCGATACATGGCCGCCTCCGGCGCCGGGAGGCGCCGGGAAAATCAGCTACGTGAGCTGGTTCTCAAACCCCTCCTGTGCTATCCCCCCCTTTCGCCCAGCCCGAGATACGTCCTCCAAGCCCGCCGACTCAGAGATTTGTGTCGGCCCGATACTGTCTCGATATCCTGCCCTCGGCGTAAGGAGGAGGCGGGGGAGGAGGCGGGGGGGGAGCGGAGACGAGGGCGAGAGGGGAGCGGAGGCGGGGGAGGGGGGACGGAAGATGGGTGGCAAGGGTCGGCCACGCGCAGAAGGGGGCAGGGGGAGGGGGGAAGGCTTCTCAGAAGTACCCCTTCTTCTAAGAAGCCGACCCCCCTCCCCTATTCCCCCCCTGCGCGCCGCCAAAAGAGGAGGGGAGAGGGGATCGAGGATCGAGGTTCGAGGATCAAGGCCCGAGGCTCGAGGTTCGAGGATCGAGGATCGAGGATCGAAGCAGAGGGAACCGGCGGGCACAGAGCCCCAGGAAGCCGCTCACGCCCTCGGATGAGCGGACGGTGCCCTGGGTGGAGGGCGGGAGGAGGGCGAGCAGCGGTGAGGGCAGGCGGCAGGCCGAAGGGTGGAAAAGGGGACCAGGAAGGGGGAGGAGGAGGAGGAGGAGGAGAAGGAGGAGGAAGGAGGAAGGAGGAAGGAGGAGGAGGAGGAGGAGGAAGGAGGAGGAGGAGGAAGGAGGGCGAGGAGGAGGAGGAGGAGGAGGAGGAGGAGGGGGAGGAAGGGGCGGAAGGCGATGGTGGCCTCGAGGCGTCAGCGCTCGAAGCCCGAATAGTTTTCTTGGGCCTTGACCGCAGCGAACCACGCGAGAGTCTGCTGCTACGACAAACTTGTGCTATTATCATGACTCGCATTATTATTGGTCATATTTGTATTATTAGTACGACCAGTAGTCTTATTTTTGTTGTTATTGTTATTATTATTCGACTCATGTTAACATTATGTTAATGTTCAGTTTGTTTCTTATTCTTACTTTTCATCGGTCCATATATGAGCCACTTTGTGGCCGCTGGCAGCCGCGTGCATGGGCGGCGATGTCAGCGCGCCATTCGGCGGCTCCAGCCTTCCTGGTCATTCATGGTTTGTTCAAGCGCGGCAACCGATGGGTGCAGGCGTGTGCAACGGGCACCTGTCAGTTCAGGCCAGAGGGTGTTGTGACAGAGGCGCACATCGTGATGGTGGCCGGCCCGTGTGCGCAGACTGATCCCGGCGGCCTCGGTCAATATCAGATTGGCCACCTTGCTGGACAGGCAGCTACATCAAGAACACGCGTCACTCCTCCTCTTCCTCCTCCTGCTGGACAGGCAGTTACATCAAGAGGACCCACGATTGGAAACAACACACAGACACGATGCATCGTTGACTCCCAGGAAAAGATGTGGGAAAATCTGGGAAGGGGGGAGGAGACGAAGACCCAGGAACTGTATGGGAAAACATCGGGAATCCTGGGATCTGTGTCTATTTGTTCGTGTGTCTCAGGGCCCCCTCAAAAACGCGTCGCTCCTCCTCCTCCTCATACTCCTCCTCCTCCTCCTCCTCCTCCCCCTCCTCCTCCTCCCTCCTCCTCCTCCTGCTCCCTCCTCCTCCTCCTCCTCCTCCTCCTCCTCCTCCTCCTCCTCCTCCTCCTCCTCCTCCTCCTCCCCTCTGCTCCACCGCTCCGGGCGGGTGTGGAGCGCGGCGCCTCCTGAGGTCCCGGCGATGTCCGACGAGAGCATCATCGTCTGGGGGGTTGGCGCGCCGAGCTAGAGGGGGGATCGGGAGGAGGTCGCCGAGAGGGGAGACGGGAGAGCTGCGAGGGGGAGGCGGGCAGTTTGAGGAGGAGGAGGAGGAGGAGGAGGAGGACGGGAGAGCTGCGAGGGGGAGGCGGACAGTTTGAGGAGGAGGAGGAGGAGGAGGAGGAGGAGGAGGAGGAGGAGGAGGAGGACGGGAGAGCTGCGAGGGGGAGTCGGACAGTTTGAGGAGGAGGAGGAGGAGGAGGAGGAAGAGGAGGATGGGGTGGGGGCGGGAGGAGGTCGCTGGGAGGGGAGACGGGAGAGCTGCGAGGGGGAGGCAGACAGCTTGAGGGGGGGGGGGGGGGGAAGGCAGGGCCCATTTCGCTTCCCCCGATTTGATGCGCTTCGATGTCGATGGATTCTGAGTCCAATTCGATTCGACTTCGGATTCCGATCTGGTCTCCGATTTCTCAACGGAGGCCTGCTAGCCTGTCGATTTCCGCCGATTCGACGTTCCCCGACTCGGCTGCCGATTTCCGCCGATCCGATTCAATTCGATCGCCGATCCGACTTATCGATTCGATGTTGGGCTCTCCTGGAAGATAGAGCGAGATGGGTTCAGTCAACGCGCCTAGTAAGGACGCGAGCCTTCATCTAGGGTGCCCTTGTGTCCTTGCGTCTGCGGCCCGTCCTTGGCCGTTTTCTCTGGCCGCCCGCCGCCCCAAAAATCTGAATTTCGGCCTCCAAGGGTCGTGCGTCCGTGCCACCCACCACCCCTCCCGAATCCACGCTTTGATGGTGAAAGACGGAGGTTGAGAGGGGGCATGGAGAAGGGGATCCGGGCAGGGCGGAAAGGGCAAGCCAGGCGCAGTCGCACTGCATGTGACAGTCTGAACGGCCCCTCCCCTCGCCACTCCTTCCTCTCGACCCGTATCTCGGTCCACTCGCCGAGCCGGGAGAAGACGAGAAGCGGGACGTGCGGATGTTGCGCGCAGTACCTGAGCCCTCCGTGTACAGTCGGACCGAGGTATAGGATCGAGGTCGGTTCGGGGAGGGCACCCTCCGTTGTTCTGTTCGCCTTGGACGACGGAGGGTCTCATGTTCGTGAGGGCATGCTCTTCTGGCCCAAGTCCAACTGTATGATCAAGGGTCGGGTGGGGGCGGAGGGGCGGGGGAGGGCCGGGGGGGGGGGGGGGGGGAAACGCAGGGCGCGGTTGCGCCCGGCGGCGCCACTTCAGCGATGGGGGCGTCTGGCACGAGGCAGGCGCGCTCGTGCCCGGAGGCGTCGTGCTACGTGCGGCCAGGGCCCCGGGGCGGGCACGGAGGCCCAGCGGCGAGGGGACGGACGAGAGTCGGGAGCGGACAAGAGGGGGGTGATGACTAGGGGGGGGTGGATATCATGGCGGGGGGCATGAAATTTCAGATTTCATGGCGCCTCTTCTTGTTTCATTACGCCCCTGACCCCCCCGCTGGGCCGCGCACATGCCGCCGGTCATGATTTGCACCCCCCCTCTTGGACACCCCCCTCTTGGCCGCTCCCGGGAGAGGGGGGCTGGGGGCGGCCAGGAGAGGGGTGATGGCTATCCAGGCCTCCTGGATGGGATCGGAGCAGATGGGGTCGGAGGATCGGGCCGCGTCGCCGCTGCATCGGCGGTGCGGCGCGGTGCGGGGCCCGAGTTTCTCCACGCCGACGTCGCCAATGCATCGCCGACGTCGCCAGCGCATGGCCGATGCATCGCCGATGCAGCGGCGATGCATTGCCGATGTATCGGCGATGCGGCGAGATCCTCCGCCCCCATCTAGGAGGCCTCTAGACTAGGGGGGGATATCATGGCCATGATATGTTTTCAGATTTCATTGCGACTCTTCTTATTTTATCACGTCTTGGTCCCGCCCATGGGCCGCGCACATGCCGCCGGCTACGGTTTGCGCCCCGTCATCTTGGACGCCCCCCTCTTGGCCGCCCCCGAGGGGGGCACGGCAAAGAGCAGGGGGAAGAAGCGGAGGATCATTCGGGAGGACTCGGCATTCCTTGTTCCTGCTGCGTCCTGCTAGCGCAATGCACGTTGTCGCTTTTGTCGATAACTGCTCCATTCCGACCGGGAGAACAGACAGCCACGAATTAGTTAATCGCTTCGCTCATTCCGCCGGCCCTTGTTGTCGCACCTCTGTCGATTTGGGGGTGCATTCCTGAGGGGGGGTCGCAGTGACTGTGGATTTGGTTTCGGGGGTTCGTCGCAGATTCTGGCGGGGCTGTCCTGGGGTAATCGTGGGTGACCACGGGTCTGGTCGGTGATTTGTTTGTGTCGGTGAGGGGTTGATGATTTTGGATGGTCGCTGTGGGGCCATGTCGCAGATCGGAGGTGTTCGTCGCAAGTTTGAGCCTTTCCGTTTTGGAGCGTGGCGGCAGGATGAGGAGGACGAGGAAAGGAGTGAGGAAGAGGAGGAGAAGGAGGAGGAGGAGGAGGGAGGATGAGGATAAAGAGGAGGACGAGGAGGGGGGAGGAGGAGGAGGAAGAGGAGGACGAGGAGGATGAGGAGCAGGATGAGATGAAGCCTCTTGGGCCGTCTTGGCGGTCTATTGGGCTGTCTTGAGGCCATCTATGGCGGCCTGGGGAGGGAGCGGGCGGGTCCTTCAGGGAAAGAAGCGCCTGGTAGGGTCCATTTCGATCCGATTCGAGGTTCTAGGTGTTCCAGGCTCTCTAGGAGGGCCTCTTGAGGCTCTCGTGGGGCCTCTTGGCGGCGTCATGGGCCGTCTGGGGGCATCTTGGGCGTCTTGGGACGATCTTGCGGGTCGGCAAGCTAGGAAGTTCAAGTCGAGTTCCCCCGATGGGGCGCCTCTTAGGGCTGCCTGGGGCTGTCCAGGGGGCCTCGTGGGCCGTCTTGGGGCCCTCTTGGGCCGTGTTGGGCCCATGTTGGGAGTCTGTTGGGCCGTCTTGGGGCGATCTTGAAGGCCTCTTGGGCAGTGTTGGACGCGCTGGACTTCGAAACGTCGTATATAGGCAAAATGCACGTTTTCCTGAAGGGAATGGGTCACTTGTTGCTTGTTGAGGCTCTCTGGGAGAGCCTCTTGAGGCTCTCTTGGGGCTTCTTGTCGGCGTCTTGGGCCGTCTGAAGGCCATCTTGGGCGTCTTGGGGCAATCGTGCGGGTCGGCAAGCTAGGAAGTTCAATTCGAGTTCCCCCGATGGGGCGCCTCTTAGGGCTGCCTGGGGCTGTCCAGGGGGCCTCGTGGGCCGTCTTGGGGCCCTCTTGGGCCGTGTTGGGCCCATGTTGGGAGTCTGTTGGGCCGTCTTGGGGCGATCTTGAAGGCCTCTTGGGCAGTGTTGGACGCGCTGGACCTCGAAACGTCGTATATAGGCAACATGCACGTTTTACTGAAGGGAATGGGTCACTTGTTGCTTGTTACGGCTCTCTAGGAGAGCCTCTTGAGGCTCTTTTGGGGCTTCTTGGCGGCATCTTGTGCCGTCTGGCGGCGACGGAGCGCCCCTCGGACCGTGTCGAGCACGTCGCGGGGCTCTCTTGGAGCGTTCCTGGGACGCTCGGGGAAGCCTCGAAGGCGGCGCCGAGGAGGAAAAACCATCTCTGGGTCTCACCGTGCCGGGACCTGGCCGGGTACTTTTCGTTCGGGGGCCCCCAGGGGCCGCCCCACGCGGGCGAACTATATAGAACATTGTAAACCAATTACCGGAGTTCTTAGCACGCCTCTGGCCCGTTGGGCCGGCGAATTGGTAATAAGTGTTTGTTTTGTTCTCTCTCTCTCTCTCTCTCTTTTTCTCTCTCTCTCTCTCTCTCTCCCTCTTTCTCTTTTATATATACACATGTATATGTATATATATGCATCGTTTTCTCAATGTCTCTCTGTCTCTCTGTCTCTCGTTCTTTTCATATGTATGTATACATGTGTACGGATTTGTTTGTTTCTCTCTCTCTCTCTCTCCTTCTGCACCGTCGGCGTGTTGCCCGGACCCTCCCCAAAAGCAGCGCTGAAAAATGCTTGATCGATCACACACTCAGACAACGACGTAAGGAACATCTTATGAACAAACAGAACGCCCAGAGAGTCCAGGGACCTCAGTGACAATTATTGTTGGGCGTCTTCTGGAAGAGAGGAGGTCACGACTCATTTTGCATATATGCATATGTATGTATGTATGTATGTATGTATATATGTATGTATGTGTGGTATGATAGATCGATATATCGATATACATATATATACACACAAGACTGCAGTGGCGCTTCGCGCCACGCACCTTGATCCTTGAAGTCTGGCATGGAGGCGGAATAGCAGGAAAGTCAAGCCGACAACTTAGCGATAACTCCTTGTTGCCTTTTCTGGCATCGTCGCTATAGTAATGTTATTCGCTATCCTTCCTCCATGCTTCTTTTTCCTCATGATCGCCATACCCTGCGCATTCTCCACATCCTCCTCAGCTTTTTTTTTGCGGAGGATCCTCCTTGGAGAGTCTCTGGGGGCCTCACAAAAAATGTTTCAGGCTTTCTTAAGGCCTTCTGGAGGCCTCCTGGGCGTATTCTGGGGGCCACCCTGCCTCTAACAGCGGTCTCCCTGAACGACCGGGTCACGATTTGGAATGCTTCGGAGATCGTCTTGAGGCCATCTTGGGCCGCCACAGGGCTCTCTGAGGGCCATGTTGGACCCGTGTTGTGCCGTTTTGGGGCTCTCTTGGACTGCCTGGAAGCCCTTTCGGATGGTTGTGGGGGCGAGTTGGGAGCCTCCCAGGTGGCTTCGGACGCCCAGAAGACCGCCCTCTTGGAGCGTCGGGAAGCCGAAAAGAGTAGAACCCCAAAATTCACCAAAAACCAACAGAAAATCAATGATTTTTGCCTCTAAGGGCCTTCTTGGGAGTGCTCTTGGAGGCCTCTTTGGGGCCGTCCTGGAGGCCTCTTGGGCCATCTTGAGGTCACGTCGGTCACTCTTGGAGTGCGCTTGTGCTGTCTTGGGTGTCGCCGGGACGTCTCCGATGACCCCCCTGATCGCCCTAGGTGTGCCGGGAAGGCTTGGCAAAACGCTCTGTGAGGCCCGGGGGGCCGCTTCGAGGCCCGTCCGGAGGGTCCCAAAGCCCCAGATCCCGGGAGTCTGGTTTTGGGGGAGGGGTGACGGGTTTTCCCCCCGCCGGGGCTTGTAAAAAATATAGGAAGGGGAATATATGTGTGTGTGTGTGTATATATATATATGTGTATGTATTGATCCGTCCCCAGGAACAAGATTGGTGGACTCAAATTTCTGGGTGGGTGGCACACAGCGTTGGCCGGTATAGGGGCGTCCCGATTAAGAAAGCACGCGGTTCCGACCACGTGACGGCGAGAATAATACGGAAAAGAGATTTTGGGCAGGGTGCTTGGGCGAAGATGGAAATTTGTAGGAGGGCGCGGAGGGGGAAGGAGGAGGAGGAGGAGGATGAAGTGGACGAAGAGGAAGAGAAGGAGGGGGCGTAGACGACGACGACGACAAGACCGAAGGTGAGAACGAGGACGACGGGGTGAATAATGAAGGAGAGGAGAAGGGCGATGAGGAGGAGGAGGAGCAGCAGTGGGCGGGGTGGGATTTGGAACCAGAGGTGGAGTAGGATAAGACACGAGATCGGTGGGCAGGTCAAGAACAACGGGACCATCTTCTTGGGGGGGCCGCCGCTGGTGAAGGCCGGCCCCGCTTGCACATCGCCGCCTCTCCCGCCTCCCGCCCCTTTCCCCCCTCCCCTCCTCGACGAGGACTGGCCAGCTCGTATTCGCCCGCATCCTCCACCTGAACGCCACGAGTCAACCTGACTGTTGCGTCTTGCCGATCCCGATGGAAGAGGAGGAGGAGGAGGAGGAGGAGGAGGAGGAGGAGGAGGAAGGAGGAGGGAGGAGGAGGGAGGAGGAGGGCCGACGCCCATCGCCGAGGGCACCGCGGAGTCGGGCGCGCGGCACCCGCCTACTGCTGAGGTGGGGGGCTGCTCCCCCACCCGCGGGCCCCGGCTGGGCCTCGCAGGGAGCCCGAGGGGTGGCGCGGAGCGGCCCGAGCCGCTGGAGGGATGACGACACAGTCGAGGGCGTAAAAAACGCCCCTACCCTGGTCTGTGAGGCGCTGTGCAACGAACCTCCTGCGGGCTAACAGGGTAAACCCTGCGTATCGCGCGTGCCGCGCGGCGTCCTGGCGGCTCTCTGGCCTGTGGGAGCTCTCAGGAGGTTTACCGACCACGCACTCGTAACCAAGGGTAGGGGCTCTTTTTCATTCCTCAGTACATGGTGTCGGGGATGGACGGAGCCGCATACCTGACACTCGATTCGTGAATTGTCCGTTTTCGGTTCTCAGGAGGGCGCTGCGGCCGTCCTGTTCCAGGCTTCCGCCCGCCAGGTTTGGGCCCGAGGTCGTTTTCACGAAGCCGCGTTTTACTATAGGGGGTTATGTCCATCCCCGATGGTGGAACAAAACCAAAACGAGGTCGAAGACGAAAAAACGCCATAAACGTAAACGTTTGGCGCTCCGCGCAGATTCTTAGATCGGCGCCTGGGGCCCCCCAGCAGCGCCTCCGTCGCCGCCCCTGGCGCGCTCCGCGCGTCAGGGATGGGGGGCCTAGCGCACATCCAAGGAGTCCGCGCGGAGCACCAACCGTTTATGCTTATGCCGTTTTTGCTCTTCTTCTAAACGAGGCTCGCAGTGCCAGCGGAGGCGACGAAAGTTCGGGGAGCAGACAGTGGCGACAACGCATGGAAAGGTGAGTCTCAGAAGTCGCCCTGGAGGAGGAACGCGGCGAAGAATTGAGTCGAGAAGGATGAGGACGGCTGGACGAGATAGGCTCTGTCGTGACTGGCCGCGGGATGATCACCTGGCTGAGCGATCAGCGCCCGGGGCGCCTCGCGGGCCTGGTGAACCACTGAGGAGTCCGTCGAGCAACTGCGCCTCACCTCTGCAGCAGGAGTAGGAGGAGGAGGAGGAGGAGGAGGAGGAGGAGGAGGAGGAGGAGGAGGAGGAGGAGCGAGGAGGACAAGGAGGAGGAGGAGGAGGAGGAGGAGGAGCGAGGAGCGAGGAGCGAGGAGGGCGACCAAGCTCCCCCTCGTGGAGCGGATACGGGGCGCCATGAAATCATTTCGCAGTCGGCGCCCCTTGACGCAGTGCGCTGACAGCTGGCGTGTGGGGCGTGTTTGCTCCGGCGCCCGCCGCGGGGTGAGTTAGACGTGACGAGAACTGACGTGGGAGATAAAGAGGATGACGGTGGTGATGAGGAGGATGAGTCGGCAACATTGACAAACGTGTACTCGATGCTCGGGCACGTGCATCCCATGTTCTATCAAAGAACATGGTAACATGTGAGCAGATGCCCTTCCGAGAAGTGCGTCAGTGTGCCCTCCCCTTTCCATACAACATTAAAAGTCATGTGGGGAGCCTCGGTGCTGCCAGCGAGCCTCGGTGCTGCCTGTGGGACCTGATCCATCAAGTGGAAGCGCGGTCACACTGCACGGGACAATGCTTGAAGAGGGAGTGAGACATGTAAGGTGGAGGAGAAGGTGGGAGGGGAGAGAAGTAATGAAGGATGAGGGACGGGGGAGAATGAGGAGTTCGAGGAGCAGCAGGAGGAGAAGGACTGGGACGAGGATGGGGAAGGGGGGGAGGACGACGACGAGGAGGAGGAGGAGGAGGAAGAGGAGGAGGAGGAGGAGGAGGAGGAGGACGAGGAGGACGAGGAAGGAGGCGGTGTCGGCGAGGGGCAGAAAAGACCCCAAGGCCATGTTGGCCCAAGCTCGGCAGCGGGAGGCTGCGGCGCCGCGGGGCGCTCCCGCTTGCCCGCCGGAGCCCGCCGGATGGCGCCTCGCAGGCCCGCCTGCCGCCGCGCGGCCCGCCCTGCGGGGGCGCGTGCGCTGCGACACGCGGGGCACTCTGCCCCGCCGCCGGCGTGGACCCGCCGGGCGCGGGCGCGTCGGCCCAGGCTCAAGCAGCGGCGAAGCGTCCTGGCTCGCCTATAGCCCTACCAAACAATGTTCTAAGAACCTCTTGTGGTTTCCACGAGATGTTCTTAGAACATTTCTGGCGGAGTCTGTTTTGTTTGAACACATCAACAGGCGCGGGGCCCCCACGGGCGTGGAGCGGCGCCCGCGTGCGAGGCCGCCGCCCCGGCGGCGCGCCCGAGGCGCCTGACGCGATGCGCCCGCCCGGCCGTCGCTGCGACGGCGCCCCGCTCGACCAGCTGATGGGCGCGTGCCTCCGGAGCCAGCAGTGGGAGGGGGCCCTCGTGCTGCTCGGGCGCGCGCTGGCGCGGCGCGTGCGGCCCCGCACCGCCGTGGGCAACGCGCTGATCAGCGCCTGCGGGCAGCGCGGCGAGCCAGAGCGCGGGCTCCGGTTGCTGCCCGAGCTGCTGCGCCACGGGTTCGTGGCCGACGTTGTCACGTACAACGCCTTGCTGGGCGCCTGCGGCAGAGCTTCGTGGACGTCGCGAGGGCTGAGGCTGCTGGAGGACATGCGGCGCCGGGAGATCGCGCCGAACGCGATCACGTGCAGCAGCCTGGTCGCCCTCCACGAGCGGGGGCACCAGCTCAAGCAGGCCGTGGGCGTGCTGGGGACCATGGAGCGCGCGCGGGTCACCCCGAGCCGCACCGCGTGGAACAGGCTCGTCGCCTGCTGCGAGAGGGGCGGCTGGCCGGACCGGGCCGTGCGGCTGCTCGCCGCCATGGCCGAGCGCCGCTGCCCGCCGGACGCTTTCGCCTACAGCGGGGCGATGGCGGCGTGCGGCAGGGCGCGGCGCCTGGGCCAGGCCCTGCAGATGCTGGCCACGATGCGCGAGCGCAGGTGCGCGCCCGACACCGTCGCCTACAGCGCCGCCATCAGCGCCTGCGGGTGGAGTTGGCAGCACGAGGAGGCGACGAGGCTGCTCGCGGAGATGGCGGGCCAGCGGCTGGCCCGCGACGCCATCGCGTTCAACGCCGCGATAGGCGCCTGCGAGGCTGCCAGCGCCTGGGGCGAGGCGCTCGAACTGCACGGCCGGATGCGGGACGCCCGGATCTCCCCAGACGTGGTCACCTTCAACGCGTTGATCAGCGCTTGCAGCAAGAGCGGGAGGTCCGACGGGGCGTTGCAGCTCTTGTACAGCATGCCGGGGCAGTCGGCGACCCCAGACGAGGTCACGTACGGAACGCTCATCAGCGCGTGCGAGCGCGGGAGCTCGCCCTCGCGGGCGTGGCAGCTCTACGGCGCGATGCGCGCGAGGAGGGTCGTCCCGAACGGCGTCACGCTGGCCACCTTGGCTGTCGCGTGCGGCAAGGGCAGGCAGCCTCTGAGGGCCCTCGAGCTGATGGAGGCTGTGGACCCTGGGCCCGCCAGGGCCAGGCCGGCGTCGCGCCGCCGCGGGAGCCAGATAGGTTTGATCTTCCTCCCTCCTGCAGTGTCCCCAGCCCCCTCGTACAAGGTCAGGCCGCGTCGCCCTCCCCCATCCCGTCCCCGTCCCCTTCCTCCCTCCCAACGCACCTCCCCGTCTGCATTCCCCTTAGCCTTTACCCCTCCATGCTGATGCTGGTCATCCTCCTCCGTCTCCTTCTGCCTCTCCCTCCTCGGAGTCATCTGCCTCCTCCTCCCCCTCCCCCTCCTCCTCCTCTTCAGTTTCTTTTCCTTATAGATATATCCTCCCTGTCGCGCCTCGAGGCCAATCGAAGGGGCGGGCAGGGCGTGTCGCTTGAGACCTCCTCACCATTTACGTAGAACCCTGAAACGTTCATTGGCAATAGTTTCACAAATGGAGGGCGGGTGGTTTTTTAGATGTGGTTCTCGCCTGAGCGCCGCGCTCACTGGTCGCTTCAAAACTTCAAGAGCTTCACCGACGGAGGATGGGCCGTTTCGAACATGTGGCTCTCGCTTCAGCGCCATGCACATTCGCTCTGAAAAGTTGCAATCGCTTCACACATAGAGGGCGGGTGGTTGTTTTGCATGTCGCTGTGGCTGTCGCCTTGGCGCAGCGCACATTCGTGTTGGAGAATTGCACAAGCTTCACGGATGGAGGGCGGGTGGTTTTCAACAGGAGGGCGGGGGACACATTCAAAATGTGGTATTCGCCTCAGCGCCGCACACAGTCGTTCTAACATTAGTTTAATGGGTTGAGGGCGGTTCGTTTCAAAATGTGGTTCTCGTTTTAGCGCCGCGTGCACTCGTTGTAAACATTTGCAACAGTCTCGCAGATTCCCATGGTCAACGTACCAGACATGATGTGTTGTAACGATTCAGGATTGTCAGGGCTCAACAGTTCCGTTGATTCATGGCGTTGGAGTCCCAAGAATGATGTTCTGGCACGCTTCAGGATTGTCAAGACGCAACAGTCACGTTGATTCGTGGCGTTGGAGTCCCGTGAATGGTGTATTGGCACGTTGCAGGGTCTTCAAACGGTTGTCTCCAAGCGGGGCATTTCCTTCAGTGGACATGAATCCTTGTATGGGGCCTGTGAAAGAGAGGTTGGAGGAAGAGTTGATTCCAGCATCGCTGATGCGTCTTGGGTTTGCACTGGTCCGTCCTCCTCCTCCTTTTCCTCCTCCTTCATTCATTTTCCTCATGAATAATGCCTCACTGTCGCACCCCCTCGCGTGTCGGTAGGGCGGGCCCAGCATTCCACTTGAGGCTTCTTCACCATGGGTTCAATGTCCGTCGGTCCATCCCACCACCGTGTCTGAGTTGCGAGTCA